GGGGGCGGGGAGCCCGAGCGGGTCGGCAGGGAGCCCGCCTGGCAGAGTCGCCAGCACCGCGCGCGGCACGCTGCAGGTGCCACTGTCAGCGCAGCGCAGGCCGGGTGAGTCACCACCGCAAGGAACCGCGTCAGGGTTAATCACAGCCGCAGCCGGGCTGCGAAACACGGAGGCAGCTGCACCGAGTGTATTAATCACCCGGGGACGGTTGAAGTGTTTGTGTTTCACCTGCAGGGCAAGGAGAAACCCGTCCCACTCAAGACCGTACAGGCAGAGGGAAGCACAGTGATAAGCTCCTTTTCCAGCTAATGCTGAAGGTTGCCTTCCCAACAGCAGCCGAGGCTCCCGGCGACGCCGGTATTGCTTCGGGTCATGGGAACGCCACCTCCTTTCCAAGTAACCCTGGCACACCACGACCCGTCGGTATAGCCGTCGCACAGGATGCTCGCGTCATGCCGGGTGCGGAGGCACCTGCCTGCAAATCCCAACGGGCAGCCCGGTGCCATGGGGCTGTGCTGAGCGTGCCGGAGCAAGTGCGGACCCGAGGGTTTCCTGGGAAGCGGCGTGAGCAGCGGCGGCACTCGGTGCCCTCAGCAGTAGCCTGGCACAGGCAGGAGGGCAGCGAGAAAAGTCGGTACTGACCACCTTGGCTGGAGCAGAGGGACATGGCAGAGCCCCAGTGGGTTCCCATGGTCCCGGTTCCTCTGTCAACCTCAGCTGAACACGCCAGCGAGCCAAAATGTCAGCTGGGTGCAGGGCCAGGGTGCCAGTTGTGCCCACACTGCTCTGAAACCACAGCCTGCGCCCAGCTGTGCTACCGCAGCCCCAGGCTGGTGGCATGGACCTGGCACGGGGACGGTGACCGGCTCCCGGGTGTCCTCCCAGGGGATGCCGTGAGGGTGAACCTGCCCAGAGCTCCACCGAGAAGGCACTTGTGGTCTGTGCAGATGAGCAGTTCAGTCAGAGGGTAAATGAACTAATTACCCACTGAGTAAGCACAGTGGGAGATGAAGCCTGCCGTCTTCGTTAATGCGGCACAGAGCCTGCATGCAGCTCCGGGCTCAACGGAACAGCACAAAGATGCTGTCCAGGGCAGGAGATGCTGAGCCCCCAGCCTGGCCACAGCTCCACTGCTCTTCACTCTCACTGCCCAAAGCCCGCCCCAGCATAAAGCCTCCTATGAAGCACCAGCACTCAACCCGTCCAGGCATTGCTCACCTTGGATGGCGGAGAGGTAGACGAAGGCGTCCTCGTGCTGCATGTTCTCCAGGAACACCTGCATGAAGGAGGGAGCACCATCAGCAGCGGCCCTGCACCGGCTGGCAGCGCATGCAGCAGCCCTGCTCCCTCTTCCCTGGCACCTTCAGCTGATGGTGACCGCAAGGTCAGAAGGCTCCGATCATACAGACCATCCCCAGCCCACCAGCACGCTCATCCCCAGCTCTACACCGCAGCACAGGACAGGGACCACAGTAGGAGCCTGGTACCTGGAGGAGTTTCTCCTGAAGCCGAAGTGCCTCCGGATCCCGCTGTGTGATCAGGCTGGCGAGGCGGCGCAGGGCTGCTGCCCGGCCGGGGGGCTGGGGGTCGTAGGCTGATACCAGGAGCTCCTGGAGCCCGGCCGGGGCCGGGCTGTCGGTACACGGGGCTGCAGCGGGACCCGCAATGCCGGGCTCATGGCTCACGCTCTGCTCTTCGCTCCTCTCCCTGGGAGCCGAGGGGCTGCTGCAGCTGTGCCGTGGCGGTGCCTGGCCACCCGCTGGGCTTGGGGCTCCGCCGGGGATGCCAGCAGGGCTCTGCGCTCCTGTCCCCGGCTTCTTTCCCATCACGCCGTCGGCAGCGGCGCCCACCGTCCCGGGGGAGAAGGCACCGTGGGTGCAGATGGCGATGCGCAGGTCTGTGGCCAACTCCTGGGTGAGGGGCTCCGGGTAGGTGCGGGAGAGCTCCTCCAGCAATGGCACCAGCCGCTTCAGCACGGCGAAGTCGCCGGATTGCAGCTGTGGAGGGGGAGAGAAGCAGCACTGGCACAGAGGTAACGGGAGGTTCGCTCCCCGGGATGCTCCTGGCAAGGCAGGCAGGTGGCCCAGAGGTGCACAAGCCCCAGAGGCCATTTTGTAGCCCCGCGGCAGTGCCAAGCCGGCTGCCCTCCATCCCCACCCCATGAACTGGGCTCCAGTCCCCCACGACCTGTTCTTGGGGACAGTGATGCCCCGTGGCCCCAGCACTGATCCCAGCCACGACCGCACCAGCCCCGAGGTGCCACAGGAGAAGGTGGGAAGGGCAAGAGCCCAAAGGAGACCGGTGCCTGTGTGGGAGAGACCCTCGTGCTCGGCATGGGGGGCTGAGGTGGGACATCCCTCCCACCGTCCTGCCAGCGCCGCGTGGGGTTTACCTTTGGTCCTGCCTTCAGTCCTGCCTGGAAGGAAGCTCCAGGCAAGACAGCTGGGACCGACCTGCCCTGAGGCTGCAGTGCCCAAGGGGGAGAACTTCCTGCCCTAACCTGGATTTAACCACTAATCCCAGAAGCAAAATCTGCAAGACCTGAAAAGTGATGCTTTAGCGGAGGTTTTGGAGAGCTTTTCGGATGACTGTGTAAAAAACCCGTGGCCATTGAAATCCAAACAGCTTTGCAGCTGCCTCCAAAACCTTTTGCATTCAATTTGCTTAAATTTGTTAAGTTGCTCCCATTAACGCCAGAGCGGGAGCGGGAGCTCGCCTGGGAGGGGGTCCATTAGAGCTGCAAGACTCTGGGTTTAAGTTTTCTTCAGCTAAATAATGTCTCTTTTCCCAATGTTAGGAATTTAGCAACACGACACAATAAATTATCTTTTTCCACTCACAGTTGGATTTTCCTTTGGGCGAGTCTGGGGATGAAGCAACCCCATCAGCTCATTGATGTAAGTGCAAGCCGGAGTGATTGCAGCGCAGTAACGAATGTGCGATTGCTACCCGGTGGCAGTTAAGCTGACGTCGCGTAACAGGGTAACCGAGCAAGGTACCGTTTTTATAGAGGATTTTCAAGAACGGTACAGCCCACACCGGGAAGTTCGTTGCGCTCCGGAGATGGAGCCTGTGGACGTGTTGGGATGCAGAGGATGCAGTGTTGGTATTTAAAGATGCTGTGTGTGACTGCACTGCTCTGTCAGCGCCTTCTCAGGAGCAGATTTTTGATGATAAATTAATTAACCGGGCTCTCAGGGGTGCCCTACCAGGATTGCACCCTCCGCCAGTGCCCTGGCACTGCTTCGAGGAAAAATTATCTCTCCCTATATATATACACACACTCTCTGGGACCCCAGAGGGACCCCAACCTGGGGAGCACCCAGACCCTGCAGCACCGGCTGCGGTCCCCCTCGGCCGGGCACAGCAGGACAGTGCCGGGTCTCCCCCCTCCCCACACCTTATGGCCACCGACCCCCCCCAGCTTTGCCCCCCTCACCTGGACGGCTCCGCCGAGCATGGCGGCCACCCGCCCCCTGGCCATTGTGACGGCC